CACAACCACAACTACTACTACTACTACTACTACTACTACTACTACTACTACTACTACTGCTACTACGACTACTACTACTACTACTACTACTACTACTACTACTACTCCTACTCCTACTCCTACTCCTACTGTTACTCCTACTCCTGCTCCTAAGCCTACTCCCACTCCCACTACTACTCCTACTGCTACTGCTACTGCTACTGCTGCTACTACGACGACTACGACTATATCATCTCTAGAGGTAGAAAGTATCACTCTAGCTTTAAAGTCACAACAGAACATGTTGGACGTCTCATGCCGCTGCCACGGCACCGCGGCATCTGGCTCTTCAGCTTCTCCTGCACATCTGCACATGCTACGGACCTCGCTTCCTCTTCCCGAGTCTGAGAGTGCGCATGCCACGTTGACACGATGTGCTGACCGTTGCAAGTCTCTCTGGATCGGCGATGGGGAGAGACAGCTGCCACCTGAAGGTCGAGCTTCTCCAGCTCTTTGTCAGCCGAGGCATTCTCCAGCGCACCTCCGACATGGACTTGCTGTCTTTCCTTCGTACATTGGGCCTACTTTTCATACAGCAACTGTAGCAACCCACGACGGCTGCAGCAGTTCAAACGGGGAAAACGTATGCCTACACCGTCTGCTTGGAAGGCCAGAAGAGATGCTGCCGTATCTGCATGTTTGCACAGCTGAACTCCCTCCAAGCCTTCAACTAGCACGGCCGTCACCTGAGAATTGAAAGCAAATCGATGATATCACGACAAACCTGCTGAGCAAAAGGCACGTTGCATGCTGCTTTGGCAGGCCAGCACAGGACGGGCTTCTTCTTCTTTCGCCAGGTCACCAAGTTCATGAGGGCGATAGAAACGAACAGGATGATAAAGAAGAAATACCTGGGCATTTACAAACCTTTTTCTCAGACAGAAGAAGTGCCCAAAAGCCTTACACCCCAGGTCCCCTGCCCAACTGTATCAAGCCCAGCAGCAGACCCAGCAAGGGTTTGTGGAGGATAAGGGGAAAGTAAATCGGAGCCACAGAGTCCAAGGTGACGAACCTAAGCTCCATCATCAGCTGGCTGTACTGAAAACACGGAGGCTCCCAGACGGGAATCGTCTATGTGGGTGGTTGTCAAAATTCTGGTCCCTTCTTGGGTCCTTATTATAATACGGCACCTAATAGTTAGGGTACCCCAAAAGGGACCCTAATTTTGACAACTACCCATGTGTAGACTCCATGCAACCGAGCGACGATGCCAGGGTTAGCAGCGTGCCTGATCAGGGAGGCTCCCAAAAAAAAATGAGCTGTGCTCCAAGCCCCCTTGGGCCAAGCGGCCAATCGCCCAAGGCTGCACTTTCTGAAAAACAGGACGAAAGACCCAGAGAACCCAAAGCCCCTTAATTAAGGAATATACCTTAAATTTTACTATTAAGGCCCCTATGCTTTGAGGTATATTCCTTAATTGAGGTGTATTGGGTTCTCTGGGGACATGAGCTATTCCGTTTTGGCTCCCAGGTGCTGGGCAGAGTTCCAAAGTACTTGCCCACAATGTCTCCCGTCTCCGTATGCTGCTGGTTCAGGTCCTTGGCAAAGCTGTGGTGTCTTCTCAGAGCTTATCCAGAGCGTAAGGTGGGTGTTTACGGAAGTTGAGGGTTAGGGGGAGCGCCGTTCAAGATTATACTTGCTTAGTCTTTCGAATTTCGGGTGGCACGCAGCAGACGCCCTACCTAGAGGGGGGTACAGCTGTAGCTCAGACCGCACCTAGATCCGGCATGTCAGTTCCCAAAGAGACCAGGAGTCAGTATCCTTGGTGATGATCTCGATGCCTGACAACTAGGTAGGCAGGTTTTTAAGTCAGACATCTCCTTTCCGGCGAGTTTCTGGAGCGTTCAAGGATCACAGACTGACACACACCCATGTTCCGCCTAAGCAGGCGGCGATGTACAGCGTTAGCACCACCAGCACCAGTGTCGAAACCATTGCATTCGCAGAGGTCAGCAGGCCGTTCACGAGCCTCCAGACCTGCCGACAGAACAAGAGCCTTCTAAGCTCTGGAACTGCAGATTCCCTGCTTTGAACATTGATGCCAAGAGACGGTCCGAAATTGCTTCAGCAAGCGCAGGGCTCGAATGAGGCGCACGAGCCGCAGCGAGCGAACGACCAGCAAAGACTCGAGCTCCTGAGAGTGGTGAAACTTCCAGAGAGTGTCCGAACACTTCCTAGCCCAGGCGGGCCTTCACCTGAAGACCCAGAGGTTGGGCGATGAGGCTGAGCACTCCCACACAGACCAGAGCGAAGTCGAGCAGACACCTCAGCAACTGGTCAACCGGCTCGTCTTCGGAGTTTTCGGGTCCCCAGAGAGTCCAAAACCTTAGCCTTAGAAGGCGGTTCCAGCTCGCAACACGTTGCACCCTGCACACTCGCAAAACCTTTGCGAAACTTTGGCCATTTCACCGTGATGATGCAGCCAGGTCCGTCCCGTCAAGGCCGGCTCCCAGGGCTCTTGACGAGGCACTACCGGACTGCCGGCAGAGAGCTGTTTGCAGAGTGAGAACTGTGGTTCGGAGCTAAGCGGCTGAATCATGCCACATGCTCAGGCCGTGGCCAAGGATCCGTGAAGCACTTGTGCAGGCCCCATGCAAGCAAACGGACAAGAAACTCCAGAATGTAGATCATCACAAAGGAAAAATCCAGCCTTTGTCGACGGAGCCAGCCAAGGAAACGTCAACATCTGAAGCTGTGAACTTTGAGGCCAGTAAGGCTCCCTAGTCGCGAATGGCATGCAGCCACTACAACCTGCTGCCAGGCGGCCAGTACATCCACCCGGTGTCCTCCCCGCTCTGCAGCCTTGCATTTCTTGCTGAGTGTTGCCGAGCAGGCTCCTCTTGGAGGCTTTTCAAAAGCCTGGGCCCCCTGCGAGTACTGGACCTCCAGGCCGACAGACACGGCATTCGCCAAAATGATCACACCCATGATGTAGTCAAAGATCTTCTTCGACGCCACACGGTAACACCAGTATCTCAGCAGGGGGAAGACTTCGAAGACTCGAGGTCATGGCAGTCCAGCAAAGCCGGTACAGAATTTTCCCTGCGAGCCAGGACGCCTGATGCGGATCCAGAGGCTGTGATGCTCATGGTGATGGTGATGGTCTTCCCCAAAGGCGGAGTACTCCTTCCAGCACCCCAAGCTGCGGCGGCTCAGCAGCACGCTTGGAGTCAAGAAAGGTCCAGGCATTGAGTGAAAGGCACCCTACCCGCACACTTTTGTTTGCGGCCTGATCTTGGAGCCGGGAAGTGAGCCAAGCCAAGCCAAGAGGTTAGAGTTTTGGCGTTCGCCTCCATACTGCAAGTCGTCTGTCTTCGTTGGGAGCAAACCGGCAAGGGCAGCTGAGGCTTTCGTTCAACTACCTGCGAACCGCAAAACTCGGGGCAGAGTTTTTCAAAACCCCTCCCAAGCGTGAAGCTTTCGCTCTTACGGGGATGCGCCTTTGCATGGCCGCCGACCCATCTCTGGAAAGTATCCTTTGGGGCTCGAACACCTTCGAAACCTGGTACGTTTGTTGAATCGTTTTTGAAGTTTTCCCATGCTTTCACCTTGCTGTTCTGGATAACGTGGGCTAGCGTCATCTGCGGAGGTTTCGGACCGATGTGCGGGCCTCGGAAGGGAAAATGTGTTTGCGCAAGGGTGCCGCGGAGACCTGAGATGCTCAGGATGCTGGCTGGCCCTGATGCGCATATGCTCGTGCAGGCGCGTGGGCGCTGCAGCGGTCTTGGCGGTGTGGGTTCGGCCCGAGTAATAATTAATGAACATGTTGCAACCTGGTACACCACAACAGGTCATCGCCCAAGCTCCGTGAAACCTCAGCGAAGCTCCTCTTCTGCGAAGAGCTTGTCCCATATGGAGCCTCCCAGGACGAGAAGGGCGATATCACTGCCAAAAGCTCTGCGAAGTCTGAAGGCGAAGCTGGCGAAGCTTCGAGCAAACAGCCCGACACCTCGCGCAAACATCGCGGAGTCTGCCGTACCTGAAAAGAGCATCTTGACAAAGAAGCTCCTGTTTCGACTTTTGGGGGTTTGGTGGTTTGGCCACAGGCCTCGAGAGCTGATGAGGTCGCGGACGTTTATCGCGTTGGTGTTGCCCATGGTAGGATTTTGGCTCACCTCCTCCCGAGGCATGGAACTGCAGAGCTCGATTGATCTGCCTCTTTATGGCAATGAACTTCCCCACGCGGGTGCCTTGGACGCCCCATGCTCGCAGGCACCGTGTTTCGGAATCCCGAGCGTTCGCGACTCCTGAATGTCTTTGAGAAGGGTCATGGCTAGGCATTTGCAGATTCTAGCCGTTTTCCAGGTGGAAACCATCCGTCTTCTGTCAACTTCTTAACTGCTGCTGACCACTGGGCTGGACAGCGGGGAAGGTCATGCTCGTCAGCATAGCACGTTCGGGAGCTGTCGGGTTTCTGCAAGATTGAGAACGGGGCTATGAAGGCCAGGGAGCGAGATTAGGACGGCCAGGAAAGGAGATCCAACTACGGAAAGGTGACGTTCTGTCGCAACACCTAGAAGTCCCCCTCCACAGCATTCCAAGCATGGGGTGTGAATCCCACTCACATCTCCTTTCTTCCACTGAACCGCCTAAGAGGCCAAAACCGCACAGAAGTAGAACAAAAGGTAGCAGGTACACCGTCGTCCTACACCTGAACACCTGAACAAAGCCTTTGATTCCCTCGTGCTTGCCCGCTCCTGGCACTTCGGACACTCGCCGCCCAAGCCCAGGCTCGTGGCCTCTACCAAGGCCGTCCGCGAGAACTGGCGAGAGGTCCGCAAAAAGGCCTCCCCGTTCCGTCGGATCTTCAAGAGCAACTGCCACTTCAAAAGACGGTATAGGCTTCAATCTCACAGACATTTCTGCTGCTTCGACGACGCAGAGGACGAGGATAAGGACGACGACGACGAGCCATATGAACGACGAAGCAATGCATGACATATTCGGGGTATCGTCCGGCAAGGGGATGCAATGCGGGATCAAAGACGACAGGTTTCAGGGCATATTATCTTGCACCTGCCCTTGGTTGGGGCATGCGGTCTCAGGTCCATCGCTTCACACATGCTGTGTTCATGCATGTGTACACACATGTGCGTGCGCAGGAGCATCACACCAGCATCTGCACACGTTCCCCACAAAAAAATCTCAAATCGCGTGTGTCTCCTCTCCTCGGGAACGAGCCAACCGGGAACGCCACCGGATCGTTCGAAAAAATCCAGATCCAAGACACGAAAACTCCATCCCCCACTGCAACCAAAGTGGAATCCTTGAAACGGCGCCCCACAAGCACTCGGTTGCCTGCATCCGAGCACTGTGTCTGGGCTGTCGCGAGGTGCGTCCGACCAAACTCCGTCCTCCGGCGGTCCCGGGGCTGCCCGGCTCATCCTTCTCGTCCTTCTCGCTCTTCTCCTGGATTCTCAAAGATTCAGGTCAAGGGGTGTTTAAGCTTCTCCCCAATGGGCTTGCTACTTCAATAGCCTTCCAGTGTGAGGGCAGAACAAGAAGACGGCGACGAACAAGACTAAGAAAGCGAAAGCGAAATTGAGAGCACCCAATCAAGGCCATAAAAACCCTAAACCCTTAAGTTCTGAGGACCTCTGGGCCCTATCTTCAGTTTAACTGGTTCGGAGGTTGAGCGGGAGCTGGAGACGGAGAGGAGGCCCAGGCCAGGCAAGGCCCGGGAGGCAAGGCAGCGAGGCTGAAGACCAAGGAGAGAAGGCGAAGACGTGCCGCGTCCGGAAGCGATCCGAGCGTCTCCTTCCTCGAGCTCGAGCTATTCGAGCTATTCGAGCTATGATCAAGAGGACTTGGGTGACTTGGGTGGGGCAATGCACCTGCTGGTTCCACGGCTCCCCTTAAGGTGCGACCTGCATGGTCGAGGGGTTGTTCAATTTTCGAAAACTCGTCCGCCACTGCAGCACGTCTTTTGGGGGATTTTGAGGGAGGTTGAAACCTTGGGAGGCCACGACGGTGAAACTCGAGGAGCAGAGAGGCTGCAGATGATAGCTTTCGACCTACGGAGGTCAATCTTGAGAGGTTTGAGCCCTTGATGTACTGATGGTCTGATGAGAGTTTCAAAATTTGATGGGTTCGAGTTCGAGTTCGAAGCTTGAAGTTTCTGAGGCTGACTGGTTCGTGGTTCCATTGGGAGAGCTAGCGCATTGCCCTAGAGGCTTGCATGACCAATGGATGGCATAGGGCCTCAGAAGCTGCTAAACCCCAAAAGTCGGAACAGCTTAGGAGGACCTTGAGGCCTGAATCAGACCTCTTAGGCAGCATCAGGCACGACACCAAAACGATCCATCCGAAAGCTAGCAACCCAGCCGACCCCATCGGCGGCACGGCAGAAGGATGAGATGTTAGCTTGTCGGGGCTTCGGAGTTGAGCGGTTTGCGTCAAGCAACTCACAGGCTTTGTCTTCTCCAGTGCTGCACACGAACCGCAGGATCTTCTACTCCGAACCAGTCAGAAGCAAGCCCAGCCACAGAGGCCTGAGTCCTGCAAACCCGAAATCTTCTATCGGACGATTTGATTGCCTGTCCTGTGTTTTGGAAGGTTCGACCACGATCGTGGTGGAGAACGCTGCTCACGATGTGAAAGAAACGATGGCGACGATTGGAAAACGGAGATAGGAGCAACTGTTATGGTGTTGGAACGACTGTTTCGTTCCCCCATGCCCAGCACATAATGCGTACAGTGTCGCAAGTGCATGTGACCAACATACTGCCTCCCATCTGCTAGCGCAGACATGTTGCACACATCAAACGTCAAACTTTCAAACCTTCATACTTTCGCGCTTGAAGTGTAGAACTCGGAACTCGGCAGACCGTCACACTTTCCTTAGAAACACGCAGCTGTTGAAACATTCAAGCCTTCAAGCTCTCGAACTGTCGACCTTTCAAGCCTTCGAACTCGCCTGCGACCTGTCGAAGCGTAAATCTCTCGAACTGTCAAGTTCTCGAGCTTGAAAGTTCATCTCATAAGCACGACGCTTCGAGCTTGAAGGGTTCGAAGTTACCCGCCCACGCGCACTCTGTCCTTCGAGTGCATTCGCCGCCGGCTCTGGGTAAACTCGGCTGCCAGCTCTGCGCCTGCTCGAAGAAAACGGCTTTTGACTTCTGCCCGCGCTCTTTAGGCACAACTGGCTCCTTAGGGAATCAGGATCCGACCAGTGGAATTTTGGCAGGGTGCTCCTGCTGTCAGCATTGATCCTCTTCCAGACCGAGAATCACTACGGCTCGCACCATCGCTCACACGATCAAGTCGTTCTGCCATGTCGAAATCGACGGGAGACACTGGTCACCTCACATCTACCAGCACCACCATCAGCACCACCAGCACCACCAGAACCGCCAGCACCGCCACCATCCCCATCAAGCGCCGCCGACAGAGCTACTCGTTGTTTGCGCCGTCATCACGGCTGGCATCCTCGTCAAAGCCGCAGTCACCACCCCCGCCTTTGTTTGATCATGTTTTGACCCCACGGCCGATGCCAATGCAAGACACCGTGCACCTAGCACACCTTGACCCGCTCGCTCGTGCAAACCATCATGTTGGACGGAAAACCTAAACTGCGTCCCGCAAAAGCTGCACCCTTCAGTCCCACAAAATCCCATGCTGTCGTTGTGCCTTCTGCTGGGCTGCCCGGGCCTCGAGGAATTCGGGATGGTCTCGGGAGTTAAGCCTTGGCCTGGAGTTCTGGGTCTGTCCTGCTATCATCAAAGCTTGGGCTGTCACAGCAACTGCGGAAAGGTCAAGTTCGATCTGCAATCCAAGGTGCTGATGTAATCTGTGCCCTCAAGCAATGCATGGAAGGAATCCAGGCACATCTTCTGCTCTTCGTAGATGTCCTGCACACGCACAGGCGACTCTTGATGAGCTCTAGGTTGGAGTTAAAGCGGCATGATTATTAAAACTGTGTTGCAAGCAGTGCAGCATGCTGGCTACGCCTATAGACCATCAAGACAGCTCGTGTTCTCAAGCTGAGCATAGCTCCCTGTCGAGAACAAGTTGATGTGGAATGGCGCGGGACGCTTCGTCGGACAACTGTAAACCTCAGAGCCTCCTTGCACACTACTTGCGCTGCCTGTAGCGACCAGCGCAGCCGCTGCCACCTCGAAGCCTGCACGCTCCCGAATCCAAACAACTCGCAATACGGAGCAAAGGGTTCTGGTGGCGCTGGGCTACCTCTTCAACCCAGCTTTGTTGCAGCCCTGGCAGCCTCCCCCTGTTTTCACATTAAGGGCGCCGGATGCCCATTTCTGTCGCGGGACATCACTTGAGAGGCACGCTACAGCAGCTGTGCACTTAAAAGAAAACCTGAAAATCATGTGAAACGTTCAGGCCCCCTCCCCTCTCCCCTGATCTCCCCTCCCCTCTCCCCATCTCCCCGTCCCCTCCACTAAATATCCCGCTTCACCCCACCCCCCCACCGCAAAGTAACAGAAATTGCAATATTCTCTAAATCAAAATAGGATTCCGGATATTTGCAGGGGTATCTTCCCCAAGTAAGAGTTTTGTCGAGTTTTGGAGGTTCCGAGAACCTCATCAGATTGCGAACCTCATCAAGATCATGTTGTATCTTTTTCATACACCGGTTGACATACCTTAGAGGCGGCCATGGTGCTGTGGCACACCTTGGGGCGGGAGGTTGGTGGTGACCAGACCCCCCTGCTCGGGCAACACACCGCCCGGACGAGAAGTGTCTGCCCTCCCGCCTCTCCCTCTCCCCAAATCTCGCCCCCGCCCTGAACTGATCCGACGGTAAGAGTGTTTTTTTTTTTG